CAGTGAAGCTTGATGGTCCATATATTTGACTGCTTTAGCAGTACACAAAAACAGGCACTCCTCTGGTGGAATTATTATAGTGTTGATAGAATAGAAAAAAATTTATAGGTAAAGAATATCAAAGGGGTGCCTGGCTGACTCAGTGGGTAGAGCATACAACTCTTGATCTTGGGGTTGTGAGTTCGAGTCCCTGTTGGGTGGAGAGATTACTTTAAAAAAAAAAATATATATATATATATATTTTTAAGAATATCGAAGATTTTCCTTGGTGTTTTGCTTGTATTTCTGCGACTGCTGGGATTGCCAAGCCAAGCCAAAAAAAAAGAAATCTTTTTTGTGGGTCCAACTAGTTTACACCATGCAGCATTTGAGCAAGAAATGAATTGAACCAACTTCCTATATGTTTATGGCAGAGGAGCTGCCATTTTTTCTTTTCATAATTTTCATGGTGATCTTTCTAAGCATCTTCGCCTTGTGATCTTATTTGTTCTTCTAAACTCTGTCTCCTCCCCTCCTCCCTCCAAAAACAAACACAAAACACATTTTATTTGAGCTAGTACAGTAATGGAGGAACCATAACAATGGATGACAGGGAGTGGTTACCTTCCTTTTTAGAGTAAAAAGAGTGCCTTGGAAATGTTCAGGGATGGTCAGAGCTGTTCCTTCATGGTGATTTTGTTGTATCTAAGAATACAATTTGTTGTTGCTACTTTTTTTTGTAAGAATACATCTCCAGTTGAAAGTGAAAGCCAGCGGGGAAATAATGTCTTCCTAAGACCTGCTGCTTTGTTCCTTGCTCACCAACCACACCGTGTATGCCTTTATATCCCCAGCTCTGCTGTGAGCTTCTTAAAACTGGGAACAGACTTTCATTTAACTTCTTTCATTTAACTTCTTTCCCTCACTTCAGAATTTTGTTGATTAAGAATAATATCTAACATTTACTGAGTACCGTCTGCCAACCACTGTCCCCAAAAGGCAACTAGTGAAAACCATTTTGGCTATTGCACCTTGGCATGTAGTTGGGTAAATTCTAGCAAGGGAGCTTTCCTCCCTAGATGTCATTAGGACCATTTTCTAAGCCATTTTGTACTCGCTGGTGTGAGGGTCCTCCCTACCACTCTGCCCTGGAGGCTTTCGTGACCAGGCAGTGCTAAGTAGGTCTTTGGAGCTCACATTGACCCAGTCCTTAGCATAGTTCAGCAGGCCTAAAGGATCACTGAATTAACCTAGTGGTAATAGGCCGAATGACCGTGTATCTCATTGCCTACCAGGCTTGAATGAGAACAGTCCCCCTTCAGTGATCCGTTTGAGTGAAGAGAAACTCCAGAATATAGAACCACCATGCTCTGGTATATTCATAACCAAAATTCTCTCTCCAGTTCAGCACTTGGAACTACTGGGGTTGTGTCCTGCAGGTACCTGATGAGTGTTTGCTGTAGATACGTAGTCCTGGGTCTGGGCATCTGTTTCAGCATTTTGAGTTGGAGAGCCAGCCTGCATTACTGAGTGTGGGCTATTAACTTGTTTTAGCTTACAGCCGTGAATTCCACAGATGGACTTTTGCAATATAAAAAATGTGCAACTGTCCTTTACATTGTGTCTTGGTGTCTTGTCATGCATTCATTTGTGTGAAAAGAGAAGGCACTCATCAGTACTCATTCTGTTTTGAGGACTTCTGGTTAACTTCCAAAGTTTATCTTTTCACTTCTCCCCACCGATGAATTTTAAATGTACGTTTTCTGGTCATTCTGGAAGAAGTGATTTTTTTTTTAAGATTTTATCCATTCATTTGTCAGAGAGAGAGAGAGAACAATTAGGGAGAGTGGCAGGGAGAGGGAGAAGCAGGCTCCCCGCTGAGAAGGGAGCCCAATGTGGGGCTCAATCCCAGGACCCTGGGACCATGACCTGAGCTGAAGGCAGACGCTTAATGACTGAGCCACCCAGGTGTCCTGGAAGAAGTGATTTCTAACACTGAACAAAATAATTGGGTCTCATTTCTTTTAGAGTGCAAATTAATTTAGACATCTGTGCTACCACAATAATCCTATTTCACCACATTAATCACTATGGCTTTTATTTTATTTTAAGATTTATTTATTTATTTATTTGACAGAGAAAGACACAGCAAGAGAGGGAACACAAGCAGGGGGAGTGGGAGAGGGAGAAGCAGGCTTCCCGCGGAGCAGGGAGCCTGACATGGGGCTCGATCCCAGGACCCCGGGATCATGACCTGAGCAGACACTTGACGACTGAGCCACCAGGTGCCCCTGTCACTGTGGCTTTTAGATGGTGAACCATTGTTGCTGGAGTGAAGAGCATAAATTGACCATTTTCCCTTAACGGAGGACTTGAACACGTAACTTTCCCAAAAGAAGCACAAATAGTAAACTTGGAAAACAGATGATATTTAAAGAGAGGTATCATTTCTCATTAAATTGTCAGTGAGGGGCGCCTGGGTGGCTCAGTTGGTTAAGCGGCTGCCTTCAGCTCGGGTCATGATCCCAGGGTCCTGGGATCAAGTCCCTCAACAAGCTCCCTGCTCAGTGGGGAGCCTGCTTCTCCCTCTCCTCCCTGCTCGTGCTCTCTGTTGCTATCTCTGTCTCTCTCTCTCTCAAATACATATATAAAATCTTAAAAATAAATAGTCAATGATATTTATTTAGATTTTATGTATGTATTAGAGAGCACGAGCAGGGGGAGAGGGAAAGGGAGAAGCAGACTCCCTGCTGAGCAGGGAGCCTAGTGCAGGGCTGGATCCCAAGACCCTGGGATCATGAACTGAGTGAGCCACCCAGGTGCCCCAAATTGTCAATTTTTTTTTTTTTTAAGATTTTATTTGTCGGAGCGAGCACAAGCAGGGGGAGCAGCAGGCAGAGGGAGAAGCAGGCTCCCCACTGAGCAGGGAGCCCGATGTGGGACTTGATCCCAGGATCCTGGAATCATGACCTAAGCTGAAGGCAGACATTTAATCAACTGAGCCACCCAGGTGTCCTTTGCAGTGATTTTTTTAAATGCTGTTTGGCAAGGATATGGGGCAAGTGGGAACTCATAAACCAGTGGTGGGAGTGTAAAATTGTACAGACTTTTTGGAGGGCAGTTTGGCCATGTAAACCTTAATGTTCTTACCGTTTGATCCAGCAGTTAGATTTCAAGGAATTTATCCTAATGAAATAATAAAAAGCTCATTAATAGATAAGAACAAAAATGCTCATAATAACATTTTCACTAGTGAAAAGTTAGGAATACTTTATAGTTACTAAAAGTCGTGTTCTTGAAGAGATGAGAAATTTTTTATTATATAAAATAAAATCTTCTGGGCGCCTGGGTGGCTCAGTTGGTTAAGCGACTGCCTTCGCCTCAGGTCATGATCCTGGAGTCCCGGGATCAAGTCCCGCGTCTGGCTCCCTGCTCAGCAGGGAGTCTGCTTCTCCCTCTGACTCTCCTCCCTCTCGTGCTCTCTCTCATTCTCTCTCTCGCAAATAAAAAAATAAAAAAATAAAATCTTTTTATTTCATAAAAAAAGGCAAGATATAGAACTTTATAGTAACCAAACTATAAAACGCTTGTATATATTTATGACATACTTGTATACACACATACACATATATATATTAAATTTTGGGAGGTTATAACTTAATGCTGAGTTGTGGGTTAAGACTGATCAAAAAAACAAGCTCTGCAAAAACCAGTTTTCTATAGAGTTCTTTATTATTTTATCAGGAAACCAAAAGGTAAAAAAATCCAATAAAGATGACTTGATATTTTGGTGCTTAGCAGAGTTTAAATTAAAGGGTGTATTCCTCACTAGAAACTGTTTTTCATTTGAACTGATATATGTTAATTTATTATTCTTCAGTTCTAGAATCTTGGGATAGAGAGGGAATACATTCTGAAGTATGCCCTGTGTGTCTAGGGCCATACGCATCTTTGCATCATGTGAATTTTAAAAATTCCTAATGTCTTTTCTCTTGGACCCTAGTGTGTCATCAGAGGTTGAGAATTTTATTTTTCTTTTTATTCATTTTTTTAAGGTTTTAAGTAATTTCTATGCCCAACGCGGGGCTGGAACTCACAACCCTGAGATCAAGAGTTGCGTGCTCTGCCAACTGAGCCAGGCAGGTGCCCCCAGAGGTTGAGAATTTTAACACTTTTTTCAAGCATCCTTATTTACCTTTTTTCATGACCTGAAGGAACAATATGGTTTACATGTTTTATTTCAATGAAGACCTTAGGAATTGATTGTTAAGCAGTTAGCTTCTTGGTTTGTCTTTTTTGTCTCCTTGGTTTTTTGCCTAATTAAGGTTTTTTGTTTGTTTTGTTTGCCTAATTAAGGTTTTTTGTTTGTTTTGGAAATGAAATTGAGAACAGCAATCACAGATTTAAAAAGATAGTCTTGGGGTGCCTGGCTGGCTTCGTTGGTAGAGCATGGGACTCTTGGTTTCAGGGTTGTGAGTTCAAGCCCCACATTGGGCACAGAGCTCACTTAAAAGAAACAAAACCTTTTTCTTAGGAATTGTACATTCTAGATGTGAAGAGAAGGAATGTATGAGCCTGGTGTAGATAGATAGCAAGTTCTTCCCATCTCTTGGAAAAGCTGCTGGGACCTATGAAAAAGGAGAGCTTGCTACATTTCCTGAGGTTGAAAAGAAGATTGCAACAAAACCTTGAACCTTAATGCTACTCTGTAAATGCAATAGCACAGAACATTTTGGGAGAATGAACAAAAAGTCTCCATGTTGCTTTGTCTTTAATCCAAGTATGAAAGCATGCCCTGATTGACCTGGTCTCTTGTTCCATCTCTGCTGCAGGTGTGATGGGCGTCTTTCTAGAGTATGTTTTAACTACAGAGTATGATTTCAGTTTACCGTAAGAAGAGGGGTTATCTTTTCTAGAATTTTCTTCTGATTATTGACTAAATGTGTTTGGGAAATGCTTAAAATCTGCATTTCATCTTTGTAATACATTTTTAAATAATGGCCTGCTCTGTTTTTTTCCAGGGGTGAGCCCCTCCAGACTCCGAATAGGAGATCAAGAGTTTGATTCATTGCCTGCTTTACTGGAATTCTACAAAATACATTATTTGGACACTACAACATTGATAGAACCAGTTTCCAGATCCAGGCAGGGTAGTGGAGTGATTCTCAGGCAGGAGGAGGCAGAATATGTGCGAGCCCTCTTTGACTTTAATGGGAATGATGAAGAAGATCTTCCCTTTAAGAAAGGAGACATCCTGAGAATCCGGGATAAGCCTGAAGAGCAGTGGTGGAATGCAGAGGACAGCGAAGGCAAGAGGGGGATGATTCCAGTCCCTTACGTCGAGAAGTATAGACCTGCCTCCGCCTCAGTATCGGCTCTGATTGGAGGTAACCAGGAGGGTTCCCACCCACAGCCACTGGGTGGGCCGGAGCCTGGGCCCTATGCCCAACCCAGCGTCAACACTCCGCTCCCTAACCTCCAGAATGGGCCCATTTATGCCAGGGTAATCCAGAAGCGAGTCCCTAATGCCTACGACAAGACAGCCTTGGCTTTGGAGGTACATAATGTGCAAAATGTAGAAAGAAGAGATCTGCTACAGGGTCTCCCTTTCAGACCTCTTAGAGCTTTGTAGGAATGCTGAATACAAACACCAGCATTGTGATGTTGTAGATGTCGAACCATTAAGTACTGATGTTGGCATTTAATGTTAGGTTTTCTCTTTTTTGTAGAAAACCTATTTTGGAATGAGTAAGCTTAAAATTGTATAACTGAATGTTCTGATTGATCTACTAAACATACTTTGACTTCTTTAATAACACCACCTGAATTCACAGGAATTAACCTAAAATATTTTTTTCTCATCTACATTCTATTCTGATTCTTTCTTTCTGCTTATCATTGTCTAAAATAAGGTGGGCTCTGTCAAAGCACTTAAATGGAATTTTCCCATAAAAACAAATGTTTTTACTTTAGGGGGCGTGGGGTTTCTTAAAATTGACTGCTTGTGTTCATAAAGTAAGAATTCAGGAGGAAAAGTAAAGCATAGTACGGGTTAGAAGAGATCCATACCCAAAACTATACACTCCCAAAGAAGAGCAGGTTTCCTTGGTTTTTGTTTGGTGCATTTTATTTATTTATTTATTTTTAAAATTTTTTTTTATTTGAGAGAGAGAGTGAAATAGCACAAGAGGGGGTAGGGTCAGAGGGAGAAGCAGACTCCCCACTGAGCAGGGAGCCTGATGCGGGACTCGATTCCGGAACTCCGGGATCATGACCCGAGCCGAAGGCAGCCGCCCAACAAACTGAGCCACCCAGGTGCCCCTCGTTTGGTGCATTTTACAGGCAGGAAGCCAGCTCTTCCTGAGGAGTAAATTCCTGCCTTTTACTGGTATATAGTTGTCGCTGGTAGCCCATCTCCTCTGGCCAGCCATTGCATTGTATCTATTCCTTTATTCCTCTCTTTGGTATTCACAGCTTTGTCTCTTACCTTCTCCCTCCCTCCCTTTCTGAGTTATACAGACCTAGTGGTTCAGTGTAAAAGCTTGTACAAAAGTGGCATGCTATCTCATCTTTCAGAACCTACTGATAGAACTTGAATGTAAGTAAGCAGCTAACTTTCATAAGTACAGGCTGAAGTTACGTGAGCACAGACTAGCAGAGAAGGGGCAAAAGTGCATTTTTATAAACTGAAATCTCTAAATGCTGTTTCCTTTGGGTCTTGTTCATATACTGGGAGTAAGAGCTGCCTTCTGCCTGAGTAGAAGTGTTAGCCTACAGAATAAACTAGGATTTATTTGAACCAGTTTCTGATATTACTGGATTTGAAATTTTTCTTTTAAATTCTGGATAGTGGATGCATAGAGGGCTAGCTGAGTCTTAGAGGTTTGACTGAAAAATGTATTTTTATTTTTATTTATTTATTTTTAAGATTTTATTTGTCTGACAGCACAAGCAGGGGGAGCGGCAGGCAGAGTGAGAGGGAGAAGCATGCTCCCCACTGAGCAGGGAGCCCGATGAGGGGCTTGATCCCAGAACCCTGGGATCATGACCGGAGCCAAAGGCAGATGCTTCACCGCCTGAGCCACCCAGGCGCCCTGAAAAATGTATTTATAAAGTGCTTATTTTTTGAGATCATGTTGTGACTTAAAAGTATCATGTCTCTGCTTTGAGGAGAAATGAAATGTACAGGTCACACCATTTTTTCCCCACTTTGAGTTTGGAGGATAAGGAAAACAGAAGTTTCTCGCCTCATGTTTTCATTTAAGCAGATGATGTCAACATCCAACATGGTGCTCTGCACATGGCAGATGTGACTGGACATTTATTGCAGACCTTGTTAGCCCTGGGCTGGAGTATGAAAAATAGCAGTCATGAAACAAGCCAGTTAACAGCCAGGAAAGAATAGTTATCACATTAATTTTGTTTCCATTTGCATTCCCTCCCTCCCTTTCTTATTTCCTTTTTATTTACTTCTTTATTTTAAAGATTTTATTTATTTGTCAGAGAGCGAGAGAGAGTTGGATGCTTAACCGATGGAGCCACCCAGGCACCCCTCCTTTTTTTTTTTTTTAATGTTTTATTTATTTATTCATGAGAGTCAGAGAGAGAGAGACGCAGAGGCAGAGGGAGAAGCAGGCTCCCCGCCTAGCAGGGAGCCCAATGCGGGACTCAATCCCAGGACCCTGGGATCATGACCTGAGCCAAAGGCAGACGCTTAACCATCTGAGCCACCCAGGCGCCCCCCGCCTTTTTTTTTAAACCCCTCCTTTTTTTTTAATTTATTTTTCTAAGTAGGCTCAATGTGGGGCTTGAACTCATGATCCTGAGATCAAGACCTGAGCTGAGATCAAGAGTTGGACACAACCAACTGAGACACCCAGGTGCCTGTCTTTTTTTTTTTTTTTAAAGATTTTATTTATTTTATTATATTTTTTATTAAAGATTTTATTTATTTGAGAGAGAGATAGCATGAGCAGAGGGAGGGGCAGAGGGAGAGAGACAGGCAGACTGCCTGTTGAGCGGGGAGCCCAACTCGGGGCTTGATCCCAGGACTCCGAGATCATGACCTCAGGCATCCCAAAGATTTTATTTTATTTTTTAAGATTTTATTTATTTGCGGGGCGCCTGGGTGGCTCAGATGGTTGAGCGTCTGCCTTCGGCTCAGGTCATGATCCCAGGGTCCCGGGATCGAGTCCCGCATCGGGCTCCCTGCTCTGCGGGGAGCCTGCTTCTCCCTCTGCCTCTCTCTCTCTCTCTCTCTCTCTCTCTCTCTCTCTCTCTGTCTGTCATGAATAAATAAATAAAATCTTTAAAAAAAAAAGATTTTATTTATTTGCGAGGGAGACAATGAGAGACAGAGAGCATGAGAGGGAGGAGGGTCAGAGGGAGAAGCAGACTCCCTGCTGAGCAGGGAGCCTGATGTGGGACTCGATCCCGGGACCCTGGGATCATGACCTGAGCCGAAGGCAGTCGCTGAACCAACTGAGCCACCCAAAGATTTTATTTTTAAGTGATGACTCCATCCAGTGCGGGGCTTGACTTCAACCCAATCCCAAGACCAAGAGTTATATGCTCTACCAACTGAGCCAGCCAGGTGCCCCTGCATTTTCTTTCTTTTCTCCCTTTCTTTTTTTATTTATTCATGAGAGACAGAGGCAGAGGGAAAAGTAGGCTCCCCGTGGACCAGGGAGCCCAATGCAGGACTCGATCCCAGGACTCTGGGATCATGACCTGAGCCGAAGGCAGATGCTTAACCGACTGAGCTACCCAGCTGCCCTGCATTTTCTTTCTTAAAGAGAATTGTTTTTTAATGATGCCTGCCTCAATTAGAGGCTTTAGTGCTAAAAATGGTTGAGCTACTCTTCCTGCTATGAAACATAAATCTTGTGAAATAAATAAGTAGAAAATAGTTTCAGTAAGTTTTGTTTTTTGGTTAGATACTGGTTTTTTGTTTTTTTGGTTTTTTTTAAAGATTTTATTTATTCATTTGAGATAGAGAGAGCATGAGCAGGGGGAGAGGCAGAGGCAGAGGGAGAAGCAGGCTCCCCGCTGAGCCAGGAGCCCGATGTGGGGCTCGATCCCAGGACCCCGGGATCATGACCTGAGCCGAAGGCAGACGCTTAACCATCTGAGCCACCCAGGCGCCCTAGATACTGGTTTTGAGCCACATATATTGATTGCTGAAGATGGCCTCTTTCAGGTTAGAACATAATAACCTAATGTATTTAAAAACATGGTGTCAGTTTAGCATCATAGAATTTTAGAGAAGGAAAGGACCTCAGATATTTTTATTTATTGTATAAAAATAACTGATGTTTAGACATGTTGGATTGTTCAGACTATTTGGAGGTAGAGATAGAATGAACCCTGATCTACTGTGGTACTTTTTCTACCATACCCAATTCAATCTGTGATTCTTCTTGTTTTATAACCGTGCTGTTGCCCTCCTCAGGATAGGTTTTGTGTAGTCTCACTGACAGCATGTCCTCAGTTGTACTGTATGCAAGGACAGTTGTGCCGTCAGTACGGTAGCTAAGTTGTTTACAGTTCTACTTTCCCATCTCTGGGTTTTTTTTTTTTTTTTTTTTTTTTTTTTTTTTTTAATATTTTATTTATTTATTTGAGAGAGAGAGTGAGAGAGAGAAAGAGCACAAGACGGGGGAGCAGAAGAGGGAGAAGCAGGCTCCCCGCCGAGCAGGGAGCCCGATGTGGGACTCGATCCTGGGACTCCAGGATCATGACCTGAGCCGAAGGCAGTCGCTTAACCAACTGAGCCACCCAGGCGCCCCCATCTCTGGGTTTTTATAAGAGCTGATGCCTTGTCCCTGTTGAGGTGAGGCTGGGAGATAAGAGTAGGAGGGTCTGGTGTTCTGACCTTAGCATTCTCGTTAAACAAAACCATTCATTGCTATATATGACCCACTGTAAATCGAGATCTGTAGACTAGTTAGGTACATTTTAGTGGAATTTTACACTTAACTTGATAAATTAGAATCATTGCATTTTACAATTGGGCAGGGCCCTAGAGATACCGTGTTAGACCAGCAGTCTTCAGACTGCTTCTCAGTGTCCCTAGGGAGAGGGGGAAGCCAAGGGTGCAAGGCCCTGGGTTCCCTCTCTTGCTTCAACCAAGCAACTTTGTTTTTAACTGTGTTACATACTCGGATCTCTCTAAGATTTTCTTTCTTTTTTTTTTTAAAGATTTTATTTATTTATTTGACAGAGAGAGACAGCGAGAGAAGAGAACACAGGCAGGGGGAGTGGGAGAGGGAGAAGCAGGCCTCTCGCGGAGCAGGGAGCCCGATGTGGGGCTCGATCCCAGGACCCTGGGATCATGACCAGTGCCAAAGGCAGACGCTTAATGACTGAGCCACCCAGGCGCCCCTCTCTAAGATTTTCTTTGAGAAAAGGATTTCTTTTTTTTTTTTTTTTTTTTTTTTTATTTATTTGATAGAGAGAGAGATAGCGAGAGCAGGAACACAAGCAGGGGGAGTGGGAGAAGGAGAAGCAGGCTCCCCGCCGAGCAGGGAGCCCGACGTGGGACTCGATCCCAGGACT